ATCACATTCAGCCGAAAGTGATCAACTTCAGCCAGTTCATTGTGTGATTGGTTATTGCTACCTCACTGTGATGGTATTGCCTCTGGCCTATGAATCTCGTAGACAGGACATAGCTTTAACTTTCAGCTTAAAACCTTCTGGAGTTGGTGCCTGTCAATCAATAACACTGGCATTCAGTATGTGCAGTCATTATCTTCAGCCGAAGATGAGCAACTTCAACCAGTTGATGACAGAGAGAGAGAATATCGCCTCTGGCACTTCAATTTCCAATTTCCTGAACTCTTACCGATGTCTACACAGACCAATGTCCTGCTGTTTTACTTCATTGATGTGTCTCTGTATTCTCTGCCAGCCTGTCAATGAGAGTTTGTTCTCAACTTACCTGGGAAAATAAAGGTTAAAATGATTATGAAACTAATAAATGTAATTAATCATGGTATCTCCATGGACATTATATGACTATAATAATGATGATACTCTAGTAATAGATTGTGACCATTTTCTAAACCAGGTTACGGTTCTCTTTGTCAAACGTCCGCTGAGCTGAACATGCTACCACCAGAATAAAACGACCAAACTTCAAGAGCAACACCTGCACTGTTTTTCAATGCCATTGGGTTTATGTTTTTATTAGATTCCTAGGTCGCCTCAACTTGTGCCTGCCACACCTTTTCATCATTATCCGTTACTTGTGCCAGACTCCTATTGTAATTCACCAGGGACTGTGTGTGTTTCTGAAGTCAGCTCCACACACACACACACACACACACACACACACACACACCTCTGAGTCTGAGTGGTGAGTATTCTGCCCCAGAGCACAGTGAAGCCAGGCGAGGTACTCAGTAGAGTCATTACTCCAGATGGCTCAGGGTAAAAAGTAATAATCCTGGGAACTTTGGGACATTTATATTGTACCCTCGGTCATTCAACCAGACAGACTGTGAATCTGAGATGCTACGATCGGTGTTGTCGTTAGCTAGAAAGCGAGAAAAAAAAAGTGTTGATTAGGAGAGTAGAAAGCCAGCAGAGCCGTCACTAGGCTCATTATCCGGATGGATCAGGGTCAAATGTAATAATGGGGAAGTGTGGAACATTCATGCTGTACTGTTCACTCAGTGCTATCATTCAACCAGACAGATTGTGAATACGATTAGCTATTCCTATATTAAATGAAATATTCTCAAAGGCACACAGAGAAAGCACAAGAGAAGTCTTATTTGTCTTGAAGGAATTTGTTCCTATCAAACTTATGTGATCAAATGGCTTTAGGATATCCCCACACAGTCTTTTTTCTATTCAATTTAAGTTATACTGTTGCAATTGAAACCGATTTGTCATGTAGATTTGTCATGCAGGTCGTCAATAAAACCATTGTGTTTTCCTAAATAAAACCATACTGTTTAAACTGTTTTAATGTGCATATTTTACAGTAGGCTACTTAAAAGCAACATAACACATTCATTAGTCTTCTATAAACAATCAAGTCCTTACTAAAGCCACATGACAGGTATCTATTATACATCTTATACACTACCAGTCAAAAGTTTTAGAACACCTACTCATTCAAGGGTTTTTCTTTATTTTTTACAATTTTCTACATTGTAGAATAATAGTGAAGACATCAAAACTATGAAATAACACACATGGAATCATGTAGTAACCAAAAAAGTGTTCAACAAATCAAAATATATTTTATATTTGAGATTCTTCAAATAGCCACCCTTTGCCTTGATGACAGCTTTGCACACTCTTGGCATTCTCTCAACCAGCTTCACCTGGAATGCTATTCCAACAGTCTTGAAGGAGTTCCCACATATGCTGAGCACTTGTTGGCTGCTTTTCCTTCACTCTGCGGTCCAATCCATCTCAATTTGGTTTAGGTCGGGGGATTGTGGAGGCCAGGTCATCTGATGCTGCACTCCATCACTCTCCTTCTTGGTAAAATAGCCCTTACATTTACATTTAAGGAGCGACCTGTCAGGTAGAATGCAATCCAAGAGTGAGCAGCGCCGGAGATGCCCAACTCGGAGAGGGTGGAGAGGAGGATCTGATGGTTCACAGTATCAAAGGCAGTAGATGGGTCTAGAAGGATAAGAGCAGAGGAGAGAGAGTTAGCTTTCGCAGTGCGGAGAGCCTCCGTGACACAGAGAAGAGCAGTCTCAGTTGAATGACCAGTCTTGAAACCTGACTGGTTTGGATCAAGAAGGTCATTCTGAGAGAGATAGCAGGAGAGTTGGCTAGAGACGGCACGCTCAAGAGTTTTGGAGAGAAAAGAAAGAAGGGATACTGGTCTGTAGTCGTTGACATTGGAGGGATCGAGTGTAGGTTTTTTGAGGAGGGGTGCAACTCTCGCTCTCTTGAAGACGGAAGGGACATAGCCAGCGGTCAAGGATGAGTTGATGAGCGAGGTGAGGTAAGGGAGAAGGTCTCCGGAAATGGTCTGGAGAAGAGAGGAGGTGATAGGGTCAAGCGGGCAGGTTGTTGGGCGGCCGGCCATCACAAGTCGCAAGATTTCATCTCGGAGGTGTGTTGGGTCATTGTCCTGTTGAAAAACAAATGATAGTCCCACTAAGCCCAAACCAGATGGGATGGCGTATCGCTGCAGAATGCTGTGGTAGCCATGCTGGTTAAGTGTGCCTTGAATTCTAAATACATCACAGACAGTGTCACCAGCAAAGCACCCCCACACCATAACACCTCCTCCTCCATGCTTTACGGTGGAAAATACACATGCAGAGATCATCCGTTCCCCCACACCGCGTCTCACAAAGACACAGCGGTTGGAACCATAAATCTTCAATTTGGACTCCAGACCAAAGGACAAATTTGCACCGGTCTAATGTCCATTGCTCGTGTTTCTTGGCCCAAGCAAGTCTCTTCTTCTTATTGGTGTCCTTTAGTAGTGGTTTCTTTGCAGCAATTCGACCATTAAAGTCTGATTCACGCAGTCTCCTCTGAACAGTTGATGTTGAGATGTGTCTGTTACTTGAACTCTGTGAAGCATTTATTTGGGCTGCAATTTCTGAGGCTGGTAACTCTAATGAACTTATCCTCTGCAGCAGAGTTAACTCTGGGTCTTCTATTCCTGTGGCAGTCCTCATGAGAGCCAGTTATATCATAGCGCTTGAAGGTTTTTGCGATTGCAATTGAAGAAACTTTCAAAGTTCTTGAAATGTTCCGTATTGACTGACATTCATGTCTTAAAGTAATGATGGACTGTCATTTCTCTTTGCTTATTTGAGCTGTTCTTGCCATAATATGGACTTGGTATTTTACCAAATAGGGCTATCTTCTGTATACCCCCCTACCTTGTCACAACACAACTGATTGGCTCAAACGCATTAAGAAGGAAAGACATTCCAAAAATTTACTTTTAACAAGGCACACTTGTTAATTGAAATGCATTCCAGGTGACTACCTCATGAAGCTGGTTGAGAGAATGCCAAGAGTGTGCAAAGCTGTCATCAAGGCAAAGGGTGGCTATTTGAAGAATCTGAAATATAAAATATATTTTGATTTGTTTAACACTTTTTTGGTTACTACATGATTCCATATGTGTTATTTCATGGTTTTGATGTCTTGACTATTATTCTACAATGTAAAAAATAGTAAAAATAAAGAAAAAACCTCGAATGAGTAGGTGTTCTAAAACGGTAGTGTATATCTTCTATAACTATATATCTTCATAATGAAGACCATTCAAAAACATTTGAGACGTTATAGGAGAATGCAAATAATGACTGTATGATTCAACTATTTTTAGCAATGGAAATGTAAGTGATGCTGAAAGCTTTGTCATTCTAAAATATTATTTCAAAATCAGTTTACACAGGAATAACACCATTGCAGTTTTCAGAAAGCACTTGAAGGAATACTGTACATTTTGGAGCATTACTAGAAAGGCACACAGCATTTGTTTAGCATGTTTATTTACTTACTGTTGATGGAAATTCCGCTCCATTTCCATAACTTTAAGGATGTCATGCGTACATCACATCACATTTTCCATTTCTATGTCATGAAACTTCCATCTCCCACATACTTCCAATATTGCCTGTGCTATACATTCATCGTGAGTGGGATTTTGATAGTGTACCTAGTACAACAACGCATGGAAGAAGACTGTACAATCTAATCGTGTCTCTTGAAACATATGAACAGAATAAAACATGTATTATATTAATAAGCTATTTTACAAAGCTAGGTATCGTTTCTTTTTCAAAGTTAGATTATTAGATAAGCTTATATAAATAATGTGTTCCCTCTGAATATTTGAATATTAATATCCGGTTGAAGAACACTGTCAGTTGCACCGAATATACATGTGAATATCCCACATATAACTAATAGCATGTGTGTGGAAATCCATTTTAAATTCAAAGTCGAAGGACGCAACTTTATTACTTTCGCTCTTTCCACTCTGGCTGTACACATTCTCAGGTTTGACGTTTATTGAGATTAGTCTTGTTCTGGAGGCAAAACTGAGCGATTTCCACTAGATGGGATAGCTGCAAAGTCAAACTTGGCTTTATATCATGACAATTCATGAAAACAAAAATGAGCTTTTTGGTCTTAATTTAAGGTTAGGCATTAGGGTTAGCAGTGTGGTTAAGGTTAGGGTTATGTTTAAAATCAGATTTTATGACTTTGTGGCTGTGCCAGCTAGTGACCACTCTGCAGAGCTGCCTCCAGTACATGAGTCCTCCCAGTAAATGCCAACCTGCTACACATTCAATCAGTGATATATTTGTTAGTTAATCTTGTTTCATTTTGGTACCTCATCCTAGTTCATGTTGGTATCCCCCAGTGAGAATTCCACTTTAAATCCAAGGGCAAAACTTCAACTCTGTTGCTTTTGCTCAATCCAAGCTCTCGCTGTACACATTCAATCAGCTACACATTTGGTCATTTTGGTACCCAATCTTGGTTCATTTTGGTGCCCAATCTTAGTTAATTTTGATACATTGTTTTGGTACCCCCACCCCTTCACCCTCTATCTAATCAGGGCTTGTATTCCCATATACATGCTGGCAGTGGGGGGTTACGTACATGTTCTGCTCCTCTATGTCTGGGGTGATTCTCTCTGGGGTCCCATTATGTTGCGGCTTCTCATAGACGATACTACGTAGGGTCAGTTGGGTGCTACGGACGGTCAGCAAGCGCACGTCGCCGCCACAGAGGCCGGAGCGACACGTGATCTGCTGGAACATCTCCCGGAAGCGGGTGGACATGAGGTTGTAGAGGATGGGGTTGACCACCGAGCTGAGGTAGAAGAAGACCCCGGAGACGATGTGGACGTACTGGAAGACCAGGAGGTGGTGGTCGGTCCAGTTGTTTATGAAGCTCCACATGAGACGGTCAATGTGGAAGGGAGCCCAGCAGATGCCAAAAACGATCACCAGTACCCCTGCATAGACAGTTAGATGGACATACATACAGACAAGACAAGACATTTGCAGACATTGAGAGCAAGACATGTTTAAGTGACAATGAACATGTTTAGAAACTAATATTTTGGTTTGTACTTCAGCACAGAATTTTAAGTCCCAATTCAAAAGAAATATCGGTCTATAATTTGTCACATTTCCATAACATCTTATCTTCTGAGAGCAAGAGCAATGTTTAAGTACCAATGGACATCTTTAGGAACTAATCTTTCGGTTTGTACTTCAGCAAATAACTTTAAATCCCTATTCAATAGAGATATCAGTCTATAATCAGTCATATCCAGGACACTCCTCTTTACCCTTCTGGCACTATAGAGAAAGTGGATGAGGAACTCACACAGCATCTTGGTGACCTGTCGGTGGCGCGCCCTCTGCTGGTGCCTAAGAACACTGCAGTGGCTGTCAGGACCAAAACCCTGCCTGGTCCCCACTCCCTGCATGCCCCTCTCCATGCTTAGCTGCAGGCCGATGCGCAGGTGCAGCGTGGTGATGGTGAGCATAGGGATCAGGAAGAAGACCAGCGTGGTCACCTGAATAATCAGGTTGTACATCCACATGGGCTTGACCACCATGCAGACGGCCGACTCTGGGAATTGGCGCCCAAATCGGGGCCCCAACACGGCCACCCCGTGGAGGCTGGTGTTTGGCATGGCGCATACCATGGACATGACCCACAGCATCAGGATGACACGCTTGGCATGGGTGTGCGTGGCCACGTGCTTGACCTTCAGCGGGTGTAACACCGCGATGTAGCGCTCCACGCTCAGTGCCGTTACATTGAGAATGGAGGCAAAGCAGACCGTCTCAAACAGGAACGTTTTGAAGTAACAGCCGCTGGCGCCGAACAGGAACGGGTAGTTGCTCCACATCTCGTAGAGTTCCAACGGCATACCCAGCAGTAGGACTAATAAATCGGACACGGCCAGACTGAACAGGTAGTAATTGGTTGGCGTCCGCATCACCTTGTAGCGCATGATGACTGCGCAGGTGAGCACGTTCCCTGACACTCCCACAGCGAAGATGACGAGGAAGGTAATGCAAACCGGCAGGAAAACGGGCGACCTCCGGAAGCCTAGAAACTTCTCCAGGTACTGATTCCGATTCAGGCACATATCGTCCATGTCATCAGCACTGACGTTGCCTAGGGCCCAGGACACATTCCAACCCAGCTGGTCAGGAGTGGTGGCAGGCAGACCCAGAGAGGAACAGTTATACTGAGCCATTGTGGTTTATGGGGACACAACACCTGTGGGGGAGAATGGAAATAATAGGAATGGTACGTTTTGCTTGTGTCAGTGTAGATGACAGTTGGTTTAGCTGCAGTCTGAACTTACAACATCTGGCAGTTATGACCTCATCTATTACAAGCATGCTCATATGTCAGTCATATGTCACAATGATGGTGTCTTGTCCTGCTCCTGAATTCATTCCAGTCATCAGCAAAAGAGCATTGGGGTATGTACTGTATCTCTTACAATGGTAATAAAACAGCTAATTCCAGGAAATGTTATCTAACATACCATACTTGTAGTAGGCTGTAATTGAATGGTTTGCCTTATGTGGTAGGTTTTTGTGGGTTTTGACACTCTTATGTAGGTGTCATAACCAGGTCATAAAATATCACAATATACTGTACGTCACAACATTTACATTTTAGTCAACAACACCTCTAAATATATGTGTGATAACAGTGTTACAATGTTATTTATGACAGGCTATGAGGTGTTATGACGCAGCCTGGTCTCAAAGACAAAACATAGTAAATGTAAACCTGGGACACTCAAATTAGTATAATATGTTACGTTTGGTATGGTCATAGAAGACAGAAGGTTACTTAAGGCAAAAATGAAAGGAAGGTGGTTGGTCGGGATGTGTGGGTGTATAACACAATGGTTGCGTGTTCGAAACTCATCACGGACAACTTTAGCATTTTAGCTAATTAGCAACTTCGCAACTACTCACTACTTTTTAGCTACTTTGCAACTACTTAGAATGTTAGCTAACCCTTCCCCTAACCCTTTAACCTAACCCTAACCTTAACCCCTAGCTTAGCTAACGTTAGCCGCCTAGTCACCTAGCTAACGTTAGCCACAACAAATTGGAACTCGTAACATTTGCAAATTCGTAACCTATTGTATGAATTGCAATTCGTAAAAAAATATAATATGAATTGTATTTCGTAACATATCATACTAAATGGGTGATGGACATCCACAAATTAATACATACCATACGAAACGTAACATATCATACTAAATGGAGTGTCTCGGATTTACGTACAGAATAATACGAAGTGAGAGCAGGTTGTATGATGCTATGCTTCAAATAAAGTGTTACCGATTTATTTTTAAATGATTTCACAATATTTCATTCTTGCCCATAATACAGGTTGAAACTGATTTGATATCCAAAGATTACAAACTTGTTACCCTCAGGGGTTTTGCACTCAACAATTTTTTCATGAACAACAGAACACGGTATGATTGAATCAAGTGCCCCAACAGATACATTTTGGAGGAGCCATTAACTTGTGATTGCATATCTCTTCTGCAATGTGATGTCTTGCTATGCCGTCATCCATTCAGAAAACCTTTCATGCACCAACCAATGTACTGAATGGAGCAAGAAAAGGTATAGCAGGTCCCGAAGCCACTCCTGCATTGTCTTGGCTGTGTGCTTAGGGTCGTTGTCCTGTTGGAAGGTGAACCTTCGCCCCAGTCTGAGGTCCTGAGCGCTCTGGAGCAGGTTTTCATCAAGGATCTCTCTGTACTTTGCTCCGTTCATCTTTCCCTCTATCCCGACTAGTCTCCCAGTCCCTGCCGCTGAAAAACATCCCCACAGCATGATGCTGCCACCACCATGCTTCACCGTAGGGATGGTGCCAGGTTTCCTCCAGACGTGACGCTTGGCATTCAGGCCAAAGAGTTCAATCTTGGTTTCATCAGACCAGAGAATCTTGTTTCTCATGGTCTGAGAGTGTTTAGGTGCCTTTTGGCAAACTCCAAGAGGGCTGTCATGTGCCTTTTACTGAGGAGTGGCTTCCGTCTGGCCACTCTACCATAAAGGCCTGATTGGTGGAGTGCTGCAGAGATGGTTGTCCTTCTGGAAGATTCTCCCATCTCCACAGAGGAACTCTGGAGCCATGTCAGAGTGACAATCGGGTTCTTGGTCACCTTCTCCCTCGATTGCTCAATTTGGCGGGGCGGCCAGCTCTTGGAAGAGTCTTGGTGGTTCCAAACTTCTTCCATTTAAGAATGATGGAGGCCACTGTGTTCCTGGGGACCTTCAATACTGCAGAAATGTTTTGTTGCCCTTCCCCAGATCTGTGCCTCGACGCAATCCTGTCTTGGAGCTCTACGGACAATTCCTTCGACCTCATGGCTTAGTTTTTGCTTTGACATGCACTGTCAACTGTGGGACCTTATATAGACAGGTGTGTACCTTTCCAAATCACATCCAATCAATTGAATTTACCACAGGTGGACTCCAAACAAGTTGTAGAAATATCTCAAGGATGATCAATGTAAACAGCATGCACCTGAGCTCAATTTAGAATCTCATAGTAAAGGGTCTGAATACTTATGCAAATAAGGTATTTCTGTTTTTATTTTTAATACATTTTCTAAAATTTCTAAAAAACTGTTTTCACTTTGTCATTATGAGGAACAAAAATAATTGAATCCATTTTAGAACAAGGCTGTAATGTAACAACGTGGAAAAAGTCAAGAGGTCTGAATACTTTACGAAGGCACTGTATCTCTGTTATGAAAATGTGGGTGAATTATTCAATAGTCACCGAAAGATCAGTTGGGGTTTGCCGTTTCAAAATTGGCATCCAAGCACAGGCTCATTTGCTATTGCACAGTTCTGTTGCACAGGGAGCCATTACCAACCTGTCATAAATCATTTTTTTTTTTAAACAAAGCTAAAAGATCCAAACAGATTTTATCACTCCGAATAACCAATATCAATTATAATAATCATAACAATAGTAACAATGAATCATGCAGTAACCTTTACTGTTCAAAATATTTGGCTACAAACCAGCCACGGATCCAACTGTATAAACACAGCTTAGCTAAACTCATGACTAATTCAGAACAACGACCTACTGCACTCCCCATCCAAATTCATATCAAATTCAAGATAATTAGCTACGGGAGGTATTAAAATACATACATGAAAATGGATATAAAAATATGACTATTCCCGTATTATTTATACTGTATAAACGTATAAAGTATACTGGTCCTTTTGACATTCTCTTAGAGATACAGGTACTATATACAGTATTGAACCCATAGCTGTATATATTAGTATAATTTGGGAAACTACAGTGGGCCTGTTTCTTGTCTTTGTCTACCAAGAACCACTAATGGACACTAATGCACCTTTTGTATAGACATTTGTTTATAATAAGCATTCATGGTAGTCATTGCAGAAATGTTCTTCCATAGTCATGTGCCATGGATGGAAAGATGGAAAACTTACCAAGTCCTTTTTAAAATGTCCTCTTCTTATTCCTCTTCAGACATGGAAGTAAAGGAGAGGGAAAAAGGTTTGTCATTTGTCCTTTTGTCCTTCACTGCTTGGATTTCAACTTTGCAACGACTCCGTCCTCCGGTACTTTCCCAGTTTGGTTCCCCTTGTTAAAATCTCCTGAACTGCCGGAGTGAAGACAAAGAGCGCTGCACTCTCCGTCGTTATGAATAGGAGAGCATAGCACCAAAAGGCATATCTCTCTCTCATTATTTTTCTCTGTGAGAGTAAATGATGCTCAGCTCTCTATCCCCTCCTCCTCCGTCAGGTCTCATCCCCTATGTACATCTCCTAACTGCACCACACACCTTGTAAGATTGAGTCCTTGACCTGCAGTAAACCAATGATTGTGCCAATTGATGTCTGATGTAGCTTTTGTTCAAAATGGCAACCAATTTAAAAAAGGTTCCACATTTATTACCCCACTCCACACACACACACACACCACGGCCCCAGTTAAAAGGGCAGTGATGTCACACAGAAAAATTGAGTTCACCTTGACAAGATGGCCTCTATTATTTTACCTCTTCAACACGTTGTATGTTCCAACCAAATACGTACCCCATGGCAGCCTCTATACAACAACAGCCAAACAAATAAACAAGAGAAGAAGATGTGAAATGTAAAATGTAAATCGTGAAAATGCTTAGAAAAAAGTTATGTCTTTGTATTCCAAACCCAATGTTCCGTTTTAAATATCACTTAAACACTAATTTAAAACACTTTAGTCCACCATATGATGTGGACATAATGTACTTGATACCTTAATATTACATACCAGATGCTGAATCTTAAAGGGGCCGGCAGTAACTAAGGTAAATAAAAGAGGCCGGCAGTAACTGAGGTAAATAAAAGAGGCCGGCAGTAACTAAGGTAAATAAAATACATTATTATGTGTACTGTGTTCTTTGACAAAGACTAACTGATATCGCCACTCCTTACCGTATTCTCTACTGTTTATGTCGCGTGCAGCTCAGTTGGTAGAGCATGGTGCTTGCAACACCAGGGTTGTGGGTTCGATTCCCACGGGGGACCAGTATGAAAACGTATGCACTCATTACTGTAAGTTGCTCTGGATAAGAGCGTCTGCTAAATGACTAAAATGTAAATGCCAGAGAGAAGACATTTTCTTTCCCTGCAACCTCAGAACTCAACAGTAAGGAATATTTCCTCTTCCTGGCTGCAACTTCTCTAGCCTGGTGGTTCAGTCTGTCTATCTTCATTAATTGTCATTCCAAACATGTATGGCATGACAATGATAGATAAGTTGGCACATACAAAATATTGAACCGGGTCTAGACCAGTGTCTAGTTCATTCCTAGGAGTTACGGGGCGGAGGACTTCCTGAGGTCTTGAACTCAGAGTCAACGTTGAAACATCATTGCATGGTGGTGGTTGTGTGTTTGCTGGGGACAATCTCATTCAGAAGTTCCAAAAAGCCCAGACCTGCATGATTACATGGCAGCCACGGAAATGGGTAAACCAGAATCAATACAATTTGATAAAATAAAAAAAACGTCAGTGCATAGCTGCGTGTGATTTCATTCTGCCCAGTGGGACCATGGATGTCTGCAGACACAAGTCTCGTTATCCCCGCTCACCCTCTGTTACAGTGGGGGGAAAAAAGTATTTAGTCAGCCACCAATTTTGCAAGTTCTCCCACTTAAAAAGATGAGAGAGGCCT